GGACATTCATCTCATATGTATATGTAAAGGGACATAACATATTTGGCTGAGCTTCGCCAGTTTACGTTCCAATGCGCACAAGGAAGACCTGACTAGACACAAAATGGCCAGACGGGGAGGTAAGTATAGAAAGGGTATGTCTTCGCGCAGCGAAGATCGGTCGGCCAGGCAGTATCACCTACCGGCCGGTAAGTATGAACTATTGTTTATATCTTGCAGTAACAAGTATTTTGATTTCGAATTTTGTGTAAAATTTTGTTAGTTTTTAACGGTTTTTCGTGCCGTGGGAGGGCCTGTTCATGTTAAGATTAATTAAAAACTTTCCAAATTCAGTGCAAAGTAGGGGTGACTTGCCGATTTTAAGTAAAATGTTATGATAGTAAGAGAGGAATAAACGGCTCCTCCAGTTTTTAAGTCGATTTTGTATGTAAGTCGCAAAATTTCACGTAATTACGGCACATGAAATGTCTAGGCAGATTGCTTACTTTTTTTTGTAAGACACAAGAGATCGTTAGTGCATGAAAAAATGCAATTTTCGGAAAAAGCTACGCACTGGTGTTACGTGGCAGTCGTAGACGTGTTCTTTTTCTTGATATATTCAGGATTGCGTAGCGGAAAAATTAAGATAAGTTTTGCGTTGTTGGTACAGTGTAGTATATATCGTCTTTTGGTGTCGTTGTTGTATTTTAACATGTTTTCGGGTTATTGTTGCGTTGATTCGGTAATTGACGAAATTTCTACGTAGTAAAATAAGGGTTACGTTGATATGGTCTTGATCGGATTTTTAAATTTGTAACGTTCAGATGTACAGGCTATTGTGCTATTAATTATAATTGCCGATATTGTCGTGCAAGGGCCGACAGAGGCAAGCCGTAAGATAAAGAACTTCAAGTGTTTGCTAATTGCGCCGATCGAATTACATGTAATAGTTGGAGATTACATCAGAATTTGGTAACATAGATAAGAAGCGGCATTCGTGGTGATAAGGAACGTGTTCTTAGGCAAATTTGAATATAGAGGCAATATCAAAGCTTTGGTCTATAATGGGAATATTAAAAACGGGTGTCGAAATAAACCGGACGGAACTGGTTTAGGCAAGGCACGTGCGTAGGCAGACAGTAATTAAAAACGGACACACAGACAGACAAACACGTGTACTTTTAGACTTTTATATTATGCGAGAGGACAATTAAACGTCGTGACGGGTAATGAAGGAA